TTTAGTAGCTAGTTTCATATCCAGCCGACCCTCTCCCTGCCGCCTTCCAGTTTGGGTACTACAGCTTTGGTTTCTTTTCTTTGCTGTATCCCTTCTATACAAGTATTCAGAATGACTACTGCTACTATTGCCCCTGCTTTTTTTGGTGGGGAGGAGAGAGGGAAGGAACTTTCCATCTTCCAAGCCTCTGGCATTGCTCATCAAACCTGACCTTGAGCTCCTTTTGGCTAGGTGTGTTTATGTTTGCCTGTGCTTATTTGCTAGCAAAATTGGTTTTTCCTCCAGTTTCTTCTAGCCATAAGCTTTTTCAAGAGACTTTGAAGAAGCGGCTTCAGAATAATGAAGCTCCTATCCCACTTTCATTTACTCTTTCCATTCATCTGTACAGTCCTGTCTCTATTTCCGAAAATCTGACCTGTAGTGACTCTTTCCACGAAAAGATACTACTAAAAGTTCACTTTTACACAACAGGTATGTTTGTGAAAAGCTAAGTGTAAAGCGAATCACATACTGCCCAAAAGGAGCAGAATCTAAGAAAGTACAAGAATTGATGGGAAAGGATACAAGGGGACTTTGAATACATGAAAAGTTTTAAAAATCTGCAACCAATATGGCAAAGTATAACATTTGTTTAACAGGAATAGTGGACACTTGTATGTTATGTTACTCTTCCTACTTATATATAATTAAAATTTCATACTTAGAATTATAAAAGACCTAAATGAAGCAAATTATAAAAATCATAATGTAAGTTTTTGTTAAAATTTTTTCAGTTTTGAAGTGTAATTGTTGAATAAACTGTCCATTTTAAAGTGTACAACTTGCTGAGTTTTGACAAATATATACATCAGTAAAACCATCACCACCAAGATAATGAATGTATCTTCTATCACCTGCAGCAGCTCTGTACCCCTCTGTAATCCATCCCATTGTACCCTCCCAGGCAACCATGGATTTATTTGTCACTAGGCATTCTGTAGTTCATAGAATTTCATGTAAATGGATCATATAGGTTTTTAGTCTGCCTTTGCTGCACATCCTCTCCAGCACTTTGGTATACTCAGTCTTAAAATTTTAGTCACTTTAGAGCAGTGGTCGCTAACCAGTGGTCTGTAGACCACTGGTGGTCTGTGAGGTCCGAAAGGTTGGTGACCACTGCTTTATAGAGGATCTGTGGTGTTAACTCATTATCTTGCTTTAACTCACACTTCCCACTGACTAATAAGATTGGGAATCTTTTCAGATGCTTATTGGCTATCTGTATACTTTCTTTAGTGAAGAGCATGCTTAAAACTTTTGCCCATATTTTGGATTGGATTATTTGTCTTCTTTGTCTTGATAAATGTTAAGAGTTGTTTTGTTGTGTTTTTTGTTTTTTGGTTAACCATTACCTGAGGATATTTTTTTCTGGCGATTTTTAGAGTGGGGGGGAGGGGGAGAGAGAGAGAAAAAAACATCGATCAATGGGGGGAATAGGAGACATATGTAATACTTTCAAACAATAAAGATTTAAAAGGGGGTAAAAGACTTAAAAGAAAAACATCAATGTGAGAGCGACTCATCAACTGGTTGCCTCCTGCACGCATCCAACCTGCAACCTAGGTATTTGCCCTTGACCAGGCTGACACTCTAACCACTGAACACCACCAGCCAGGGCAGAATTCTTTTTATAGTATTCATCAGGGGTTAGCAAACTTTTTCTATACAGAGCCAGTAAGGAAATATTTTAGGTTTTGAGGTCCACATATAGTCTGTCACATATTCTTCTGTTTTAACCCTTTAAAAAAAATGTCAAAACCGTTCTTAGCTTGCAGGAAACTTTATATAACAGATTCTAAGTTAGATTTAGCCCACAGCAGTAGCTCCTCATCTAGATACAAGTCCTTTGTCAGGTGTATGTTTTGCAAATATATTCTCCCAATTAGTAGCTTGCCTTTTCTTAACAGCATCTATTAAAGGAAAAAGTTCTAAATTTTGATAAAACTACAACCTCTGATTCCTTTTGTGTCCTATTTTGCCAAATCTAAGGTCATTAAGATTTTCTCTTATGTTTTCTTCAATAAGTTTTATAGGTTTAGTTCTTACATTTAAGTCTATGCCCATTTGTGTGTGTGTGTCTGTGTGTGTGTGTATATGGTATGAGGTAAGGGTTGTGGTTCATTTTTTGTAGATGACTATTCCATTGTTTCATCACTATCTGTAAGATTATTCTTTCTCCATTGAATTGTCTTGGTATCTTTGAAAAACAACAACTGACTGAATATATGTGACTTTATCTCTGGATTATCTATTCTGTTCCACTGACCCATGTCTATTCTTACAGCAATACAATAATGTATTCATTACTGTAGCTTTATAATAAGTCTTAAAATTAGGTGTTGTCATTCAAATGCTTTTTCAGTTTTTCTAAGTCCATTGCATTTTAGAATGAGTTTGCAATTTTCTAAAAACTAAAAACTCTGCTGGGAATTTTAATCAATTTATAGATTTAGGGGAGAATCAACATTTGAACAAATCCCGAATTTCTGATCTATGAACACAATCAACTGCTCTATTTACTTAAGTCCTATTTTAACTTCTGTCAGCAAAGTTTTAAAGTGTTCAGTATACAGATCTTGTAAATATGTCCCTAAGTATTTCACAGTATTGTTTTTTAAATTATAATTTCCAATTATTCATTGCTAACGTATGGAGCCACAACTGATTTTTACATATTGAACTTCAATTTTGCAACCTTGCTAAATTCACTGTATTTCCTGGAAACTGATAGTTTTACAGCAGTGGTTCTGAAATGGGGACATTCTTCCTCCCCAGAGTACATCTGGCAATGTCTGTAGACAATTAATTGTCATAGCTAGGGTTTGAGGGAGTGTGTACTACTGGCACCTAGCAAGTAGAGACCAGGGATACTGCTAAACATAACTACACTTCAAAAAAGACCCTTCACAAAAAGAATTACCTAGTCCAAAATGTTTATCTTGCTGAGGTTGAGAAACCCTGTTTTAAAAGCTTAATCAAAATGACATATAATTTTTTACAATATTATTTCATAGGTGGTAGTGTGTCCTTCCATTAAGATCCACATACATATCTGGCTATTTCTTTTGTGATGTTAGCAGTGCAGTTGCAAAGTGACAATATTCTATACACTAATTCCTTCTGCATTTATTATTTGAATTACTTGTTTATCCTAAATAACAGTTCACAGAAGAAAGGAAGGATAAATGCTAAATTCTTTCTTTGCCATTTTTCAAAATGAGCCGGTTCCCTAATATCCTCTAAAGTGACCAATATTATTTTTTAAAAGTATCATTATGAATTCATAGATTAAGATATCATTATGAACTCATAGATTAAGATATTTGATGTGTTTCAATCTATTACCACTTCATCTGTGGCAGGAGGAGATTCTTCATGTTCCGAGTCAAGTCATCTTTTAATAACTTCTCTGCTTTCTGGTGTGACAATATAATTGAGGTTAATCTTGGACATTTCTTTCCCTGCTCAGGAATCGGCCATTTCTCCAATGGCCGATTTTAGTGTCCAAAAGTATTTAGAGGCCAAAATCTGGGTCTTTTCAATACACATATCTGGGAAATTTTTTTCTTTTGGAGACAATACATTGAGTTCATTAATTCAACTTAAATATTTCAAGGTTTTGAATATTCCTTTGTTTTATATCTGAATCTTTCTCTTATGCTGAAAATCCTAATGACATAACATAATCCCTTATTTGCTTTATCCTATAATGTAATATATTCAGAATAATATTACAAACATTATATAACTGAAATAATACAAGTTCTTTTGGTTCTTAATATCAAAGTTCTGTTTTTTAAAGTCAACTGAAAGACCTTTTCTCTGTGAGGTTATTGGGAAGTCAAAACAAAGTTAGAGCCCTGACTGGGTGGCTTGGTTGGAGCGATATCCAGTACACCAAAAAGGTGCAGGTTTGATTCCCAGGGCACATACCTAGGTTGTGAGTTCGATCCCCAGATGGGGCATGTATGAGAGGCAACTGATCAATGTTTCTCTAAAAAAATAAATCAATAATCATATCCTTGGGTGAGGAAATAAAAAAGTTAGATTCATTTAACTTTTGCTAAGTTAGTTTATCCCATGTCTCTTCATTTGACTAGTAGTGATTTGTATCCTTCATAATAAAACTATAATCATATGTATGACATATTCTTGAGTTCTGAGAGTCAGTCTAGTAAACTCCTGAACCTGATGAGATCATGGGAACCCTCCAATTTGTAGCCAGTTGGTCAAAACTGCAGGTGGCCCAAGGACCCCTGGAACTTGCAGGTGGTGTCTAAAGTAAGGGCAGTCTTGTTGGGGACTGTGCAGTCTTAACTTGTACAGTCTGATGCCAACTTGGGGTGGTTAACGTGAGAATATATTGTAGTACACCAAATTAAAATACCCTGAAATTTAGCTTTGTTGTATATGTTGTCCGTGGGTTTGTTATTATGTGGATTTGAGACTCAAAAACTGTACCAGGTCACTACCATTTTGTTGCTAGCCTTTCTTTGTGTTGTATGTTAACTTAGTACATCCTCCCCTGCACACTATTTCAATTTTTATCATCATTTCACAGACAGATAGTTACAGAAGATTAAATTGCCATGACTATACAATATCACTCTTACTGTTAATTAGAACTCATCTGCAGTGTACTCTCTGAAATGTGCAAATGGCAATTAAAGCTACTATATTCATGACTATAATTTATGAGTTAATAAGAAACCAGACAGGGGACTTTAGTTTTCAAGGAACTAAATCAGGTATTCTGATTTATCTTTTATGATTATTACCACCATCAAATAACAAATGCATAGTAAAGTATTTCAAATATTGCTTCCAAATCAGCAGAATGCATTAAATTTGTAAATTAAACAGAACACAAACTGCATACTGGATATATTGATATATATTGTTTTCAAACAGGTCTGAGGCTAGAACCCAAAAATTAAAAAAAATAGAAGCAAAAAATTTACCTCTTTGACACGTAGTTGTGATGATGCAGCCATATAATCTGATTCTAATTTATTCTTCTCTGAGGTCACTGTAGTATTTTGAAGAATTAAATCTACTTTTTGTATATGTAAAGAAGTGCAAATCTAGGAACAAAAACCCGTAAAAGTTTGTTTTTTAATGTATTATTTTTCTTAATTGTAAAATTATAAACCATAAAATTATTCTTCATCTGATGTGACTTTTTATTTTTACAACTATTTCTTACAAGAGAACTTTTAAAACTTTTCCTGTGTATTTATAATTTCGCATAATGAGTGCTTTTAACCAATTTATTATCTTACTAGATAATTTGCCCGATGCACGAAATGCAAGAGTAAGCCTTCCTTCCCCCAGCTGCTGGCACCTGGGACCCGGGCTTCCCTCAGAGCCCCGGCTTTGTCCAGAAGGACATCCAGTCTAATTAGTCTATTACACTTTTATTATTATAGATAATAAAAATGTCAAATAATAAAGTTAAAAATCTCTAAGATTTTACTAACTTGTCTTATCTACCTAATATAAAGAAAATGCCTTACCTTGATTAGATTTGTTAATTCAGTAACAAGTTTTGCTTTCTGAACATTTATTTCTTTGATTTTAGTATTTGCTTTTCGCTCTTCCTCTTCAAGATTGCAAGTATCCTGTTCCATCACCTTTAAACTGTAATGATGAAACGTATAATGATGTAGAAATCAGTTATACACAAGGATTGAGCCCAAATCCTTGGTCCCCTGCTGTTTTATGAGCTATTTAGCAATGCTACCCAGATGTCTAAACTGCTAGCTTCTAGATTAAACAATCATTTTATGCAACTATGCAGGATCAAAAAGTATTTGTTGAGATAGGTATAGGGTGAGGCAAAAGCAGGCTTACAGTTGTCTGTATGGAAAATAATGCAATACTAAATAATAATTCAGTAACAAACATTGTTTTGTGTACTCACAACTATAAACTTACTTTTACCACACCCCGTATTATGTGCCCAGTGTAATCTATCTAGGCAACTAATGCTAGTGCTAACGGTATAGCATTTGGAGTTACAAATGTGGATCTGAATTTGCTCCTTCCTGCATAACTGGACAAGTTACTCTTCTGGACTTCAGTTTCTTCATCTAAAAATTAAAAATCATACGAGAACCCCTCCTACAGAACTGTGGTGAAGATGTAAACTATGTAACACACTTAGTATAGTGCCTGGCTCATAACTGATACATACTAGTTGTTACTCTTGTTTTCAATATTATTTATAAACACAGTCCCCTCCCTCCCCTTAAGGAGCTTAACTGGGGGGTCGGGGGGGGGGGGGATGGGGGACTTACTTAATAAAAAAACACACCCCATGGCTCAGTGGTTGAGAGTTAACCTATGAACCAGGAGGTCACAGTTCAATTCCAAGTCAGGGCACAAGCCTGGGTTGTGGGCCCCTGTAGGGGGGATGCAGGAGGCAGCCAATCAATGATTCTCTCTCTCCCCCTTTCCTTTCATCTCTGAAATTAAAAAATATATAAAGTTAATACTTTGTTCTTTATTTTAAGATGAAGAAAGTAAGGCTCAGAAGTTAAGTTACCTAAGATCACAGATATGAAGTGGTACGAATGCACCAAAGTCTAAATTGTTTCCACTACACTATGTTGCCGTTAGGGGATAAAGCAAGAGCAAAAGATGGGAGCAATAATAAACAAGAATAAACTAGTTCAGTGGAGTTATAGAGTGTCCTGAATGGTACATGGGGGAGGGTGATGAGTTGGAATGAGTAGAGTGAAACAAGATTTTGGAAAACTTGAAAGCCAGTCTAAGGGAAAGTAGTATTTAAGTAAATTTCATGTAATGGCAGAAAATCACAACAGATATTCTTACGTGGGGTAGGGACATAAAAAGAGAAATTTACAGTATTCTGGAGGCACTGAAGAGAGTAGGGACTAGTCAGGCCACCACTGTAGTATTCCAAAGTGCATAACTGTACATATGAAAAGTCATTTCACTATGAAAATCAACAATACTTTATGAGGAGAAAGTTTAGTTTTAGACAGTATAGCAGCTGCAGAGTAAAGGTTAAGTGTTTGCAGGTGCTTGAATGAAGTGAAGGGTTTAAGTTGAAAAAAGGCTTAAAGTAAAAAAAAAAATTCTAGGCAATTAGACTAAAAAGATAGAACTTGTCTTAAGCAACCAAGGTACATTATTAACTTTTAAAATAAAAGTTAATGACATTTGTTTGCTTAAAAAAAAAAACACAAAAAATTTTCTTAATGCATCTCAAATATGATTCAATTTATGAATGTGTTTATAAACACATACTATATTAGGTCAAGGTAAACTTACATCTTACTCAAGCCAATGAGCTATCATTTATTATTAAAGGCTGATTATGTCATTAATATCTATATCTTTATTCTATAGGCAAGAAGTATAAAAGAACAACAACAAAAAGATCTGAGCTATGATGTAGTAAGATATGGGAAAAACCTTGAAACTAAAAGCTAATATTCATTTCCCCTGGTAGTAGAATTAAAGTTTGAGAAAAAAATTATTACAAAATGTGCTTGAGGGAATTATGGTGTCATTCCAGGGTAAACTAATAATATCCCATACTGCTTTGTGTCCCTAGCCACACCCCATGAAACTGGATACAAAATACCTTCCTAGTTTGGAACTAATTTTTTGTTCCAGTTGTCTTTTCTTGTTTTTTCTTTCAAGAAGCTCCTTCTTTCGTTGTCTGAGTTCATTATCTTTGTGTTCTAGATGTTTGTTCTTCTCACGCAAAGCAATCAACCCTGATTCCACTGCTTGCAATTTTCTATTAATTTCCTATGGGATATTCAAAATAGTTAATTTAAAGAGCCCTAGTTAAAGTATTATAAATCCAGTTAATATTTTTTTCTAATAAATTTTAAAAAACCAACCTTTAGATGTTCTTCTAGGTGTCTTCTTTGCTCTAGATCCACAGTGACTGTGAGAAACTGGGCTACTTTTAGGGATGTGTTACTAGAAATAACTTTATTTGAATAAAAAGAAGTTTTCACCACATACTTTTCTTCTGCTGTATACATTTGTTTTAATCTGGTTTCTTGTATTACCTACAATGTAAAATAAGTATCAGTGCATATCTAATAATAACTGATATATTTTTTAAAAAACCAAAGAATTAAAAATACAGATCAAATGAATTTTAGATCAAAATATAGTATACAGCTGTTTTTTAAAAACTTATCCAACAGTATTTCTAAAAAGGTAGCTGATACATTTTATGTTATTATCTTAGATAACATTAAGAAAATTAGGAGAAACCAAAACAACTAGCAAAGCTAACTATATTCTACTTCGCTATACAATCGCTCCCAACTAAGTACTTTTGGAGCTTTGTTGTATCTACAGAAAAGATACCAGGACCCATGTGTCCATACATTGAACTGTTATTTCAGGTAAGTTACTTACTCTTCCTTCCCCTCAGTTATACTGTTCAAATATACATAATCTTAAATTCAATTCCTGTATAATTTGAGAAAATACTTAATGGAAACACTTGTCAAGGATTTCAGAGACTTAATTTTTGCATTTTGGGGGGATCTTTTTTCTCAAGAACTTATACAAGGAATAGATCTAATAAAAAATAAGCTGCTGTAATTCAGTTTCTTTCTAAACTCTAAAGGTTTATTACCAATACTATTATGGCTTCTCTGCAGAAGTTTATAGTCTAAGTGAAGAGAAAAGACATTTAAGCATCCTAAATTTTATAAACTGGCATTCAATGCTGAATAATTTGGAATGAAGGGAAAGCCTAGAACAGGTTACCCAAGTTTCAGGAAAATAAGTTTTAAATGGGATTGAACTGAGAGATGGTGAGGGAAAGGCATTCCCACCAAAAAGGACATCAAGAGTGTCAGCAGAAAATTTAACCAAAGGGGGAAGTATTAGAAATTGAGAACAATTCCATAAATAGGTTGTAATCATTGTTAGAGAACCTAAAATGTTAGAATTCAATAATAAAGCAAAACTTACACTAAAAAATGTACTGTTAGTCTAAGGAAGAAATATAGCTGTTATTGTCATTATCTAGATATGATTGCAGATATAAAGATAAGTAGTTTCCTCAATATAAGTTTGTATCTTCTGAAAGATATCCAAAATAATGTCAGGGACTTTACAGTATATGCACATGTCTGAGAAGCATCTCATCATAATTTATAAGTGTTTATATACAATATAGCACCGAGCTGGACAATGAAACAATAAGTATAAGAAACATTCAATGTTTTCAAGGATTTTAAAGATACCATCACCTATATAAAAATAGAGTTTAAGAAAAATATTTGAAAAGAGATGAAGGAAAATATGACTTATTATGAATTAATTTTACTTTTAATGTAAATTATTTGAATTCCAATGCTGTTTCTCTAGTAAAACAGCTCTCTGGGTGACTTAAAGTACATGAAAATAATTCAACATGAAGCACTGTTCAAGAAGTAAAACTGAAAGCCCTTACCAAATTTTCTATAGTCTTTTTGCAATAGTAAAGCTACCCTCACCTTCAAACAGCCCTACCTATACCTAAAGTTATGACAGACATTGGTTTGGTTTATGAATATGGTCTTGTCCTTTTTTCTAAACACCGTAGAATTAAGACCAGAGCGATACACTGGATTAACTGTAAACCAGTTGTTAGAAAATTTTAAACATATTTTCTAATGAAGTCAATATTGTAAGTAACAGTAGGTCTGTAATTGGGTCCTAGATGCTTACAAGTGGTATTAATAGGGCAACTTGGTGTTATGGAAAAACCTGTTTTAGAAGAGATTTCTTCCCTGATTCTGCCTGTGATACAAACAACAAATGTGGTTTGGAGCCTTGGAGTTAACTTGTAAGAAGACAATTCTAAACCGTGTTGGCAGAATATAGGAACTAAGAGTTCCTTGAGAAACCTGTATGATCTTATCAACCAATGTCACCCAAATAAAATTGCAATTAGTATATTAAAAAAAAGCCTGGAAGGTGAAGGAGGGTGGGAGATAACCAATCAAAAACCTTGTATGCATATATGCATAAACCCATGGCCACAGACAATAGGGTGTTGAAGGAAGGCTTGGGGGGTGGTGGTGGGGGGTCAAAGGGGAAAAAAAGGGAACATATTGTAATACTTTCAACAATAAAGAATTATAGAAAAGAATGGCTTATCAGGGAGATCACTTTGTAAGTTATATAAAAATCCAACCACTATGCTGTACACAGTAACTAGTATAATATTGAATGTCAACTATAATTGGAAAATAAAAAACAAACATTTTTTTAAAGAATCCAATGGATTAAAAAAAAAAAAAGCCTAAGTACTACAATAAGCCAGGAAAATGAGACCCTATTAAGTAAGGATGGTCACTGATATATGAGGTAATCTTAAGTAGAAGCTTTAAGACGGGGAGGTTTCACTATATCGAAGCCTACCATCCTGAAGTATAATTTCTCTGAAAGATAATCCAGAATACAAGAACCTAAATGATTAAATCATTAATGTAACGTTTAAACATAGGTCCATCAAGCAAGGCAGAACAGAATCAGGTAAGAGTGCCAGGTATTTCTTTTCAGGATTTAACTTAATGACCCTATAGGTACTATTTATTTACTCTAGGTAACTCCACATCACTCCTGTCATAAAGTACTAGTCAATACTTTATGTTATATTATGTTTTATGTTATATTAAAAATACAAAATACAAAGATAATTTCTATGTGGTTAAAAACAACAGAATGATAAAGCTTCTTTAAATTTCTTACCTTTTTTCCTTGAGTGTAAGCTAAGAAAACTTAATAAAACTACTGATTTAGTACTTTCTTACCCGTTCAATTCTTTCTCTGGTCCTTTCAGTTCCTACAGGAACTTCATGAATATGATACTGGCTGCAAAGGTAGCTCATGACAGGAGCAGGTGCATCAAATAATTCTCGCAAGTAAGAGAAAAATCCATATTGTCTGAAAGGAAAAACACCTATTAGATTTTTCTTCTTAAAATATCATTAAAAAAATCTGATGGTTGACAAGTAGCCAATAAATAAGAGTCTTTTCTTTGTGTATTTGTATATTTGAAAATCACTTAAGTGGTTAATAATTGAGATTTATTGCCTTGTCAAGGTTTAATTTTTATATATTTATGATTACAAACTATTAATCTGTTTTTTTTGACATTTCTTCTATTGATTTTGTATTTAGAATGTCTACTTACATTCAGAGTTAAGATATTTACTTACTACTATTTTATAATTGCAATTTTTCCATTTAGTCCTCTGGAAATTATTTTTGCATTATTAAGTGGTGTTTTATCACTTTATTTTCCCAATAATTAACCAAGCATTTTGGTATTTTTAATTAAATAGTCCAATATTATTCCAATGATTTAAAACATCATCATCATATATTAACTATACCATAGTTTGTTCTTGCGCCTAGATTTTTCCTTATTTTAGACTTAAGTAGAGATCCTAAAGGGAAATAATACAGCCTATAACAAATATGTGACAAAAAGATAATTAAAATATATTAAAGAGATAAATGACTACTCAATATTTAAAAGGTACAGGTTAGTTCTAATAGTATTTTCAAGACTTACTTTAGTTCATTTAGAGATCTTGAAGGTGCTCTGTCGGCATATGAACTCCTGGGAGCAATAACAGCATTCACTCTTAATTTCTTATTGTCACGAACCTGAATATAAAAAAGGAAAATATTAATTTAATAACCATCTATGCTCAATCAAAATGATTTTTAAAATTAATGTATTCCTACTGGCATTCATGGGATGATCAGAAATTTAAACACTGACAGGGTATTTAATGGTACTTACAAGAAAAATTTTTAGTGATATTGATATTGTAGTTATGTGTTTTTACAGAGTCCATTTCTTTTATAATTTTCACTGATAAATTCTATGAAACAGTTAAAAAAGCAATAATACCAGAACTCTTTCAGAAAATAAGAGGGACATTTCCCAAGTCATTTTATGATACCAGCATCATCTTTTTTTAAAAATTAAATATATTTTTATTGATTTCAGAGAGGAGAGAGAGAATCATTGAATGCCTGCCTCCTGCATGCCTCCTACTGGGGATCGAGCCCACAACAAGGGCATGTGCCCTTGACCAGAATCGGACCCGACACTCTATCCACTGAGCCAAACCAGCTAGGGCAGAATCACTGGTTCTTAAACCTAGTTTCATGAAGAATAGGATACAACATAGTCTCAAAGTATCTCCACATACATAATTACAAGGAGAAAAATAATTTTGTGTAATACTTGTTTTGAAGACAAATTTGTTCTGAGCAACTGATATATTAGGAGACAATTTAAGAAATACATGGATTTCAAATTTGCTTACATGCAATTCTATCTACAAGAAACATGAGGTTTTTCTCTAGGTGAATGCAGAAAACTGCACCCAACTCAGCCTAGCTGCTGAGAAATACATGTAATTTGTGCACAAATACAGACACACATACACTCCTCTCAAACGTCTACCAGCTACCTCAGGTCACCACATGTATTATGAGCCCTATCCAACCATATTTGCTGTTGCAGCGTTCTATCCAACTTTAGATAAGCGCTTTCAATTGTTTGACCCACTATACCAGTGATGGCGAACCTATAACATGCGTGTCAGAGGTGACACGCGAACTCATTTTTTTGGTTGATTTTTCTTTGTTAAATGGCATTTAAATATATAAAATAAATATCAAAAATATGTCTTTGTTTTACTATGGTTGCAAATATCAAAAAATTTCTATATGTGACACAGCACCAGAGTTAAGTTAGGGTTTTTCAAAATGCTGACACGCCCAGCTCAAACGGTTTGCCATCACTGCACTATACCCTTCCAAGGCCTGCTTCCACAAGCTAGCTTCAGGTCTTTCTAAAAACAAAGTACATATTTATTGTATTTGTATATTTCTTGACAATCTTAAATGTGTAAAACTATGCTGTCATTTTTCTCCCCATAGGCCCAATGGGTTTCTATTGTATAATTTTGCATAGCATAATGAGTTTTAGGAATGAACATATTGGGTTATAGCAAAACTGACTACTTTGCAATGGAGAAATAATAAAGCAAATAGGGAAAATGCAAGTAACTAGTGAATCTGGGTAAAAGGTATACAGAATTTCCATGTATACTCTTGCATATTTTCTGTAAGTTTAAAGTTACATCAAAATAAAATTTTATTAAAAAGAAATAGAAGGTATACATTCATACTGATTCTTATTTATGTTTGTAAAATATATTGCTTTAGTGGTTACTCTAAATAAAAGAATTATACAATGAGAAAATAATTTCCTTTTCAATTCTCATCACAGGAAGAAAACTGCTGTATAACTCCTTATCTCCCCCTCCCTTTTAAAAAAGAATTCTGTTCTCTGCTTTCAGTAAGGAACAGTATAGATCTAGCACTAACATTGTTTTTCTCTTTATTGTTGTGCAAACTGTTTTCTAATTTTGCAGTAATATTAAACTCCCTTTCAGAATATTTTGTTTGAGTAATAAAAAGTGAAGTGAGTTAGCCCTGGCCGGTGTGAGTCAGTTGGTTGGATGTTGTCCTGAGCACCGAAAAGGTTGCCGGTTTGATTCCCAGTCAAAGCACATGCCCAGGTTGCAGGTTCAATCCCCAGTAGGGAGCATGGAGGAGGCAACTGATCAATGTCTTGTTCTCACATCGATATTTCTATTTCTCTCTCTCTCTCTCTCTCTCTCTCTCTCTCTCTCTCTCTCTCCCCCCCCTTCCTATCTCTCTAAAAATCAATAATATATATTTTAAAAAGTGAAGTGATTTAAATAAAAAAATAATAGGATAGTTTGCTCTGGCCAGTGGGCATCATCCCATGCACGGAGTGTGCAGGAGGCAACCAACTGATGTCTCGATCTCACAATGATGCTTCTCTCTCTCTCGAAATTAAAAAGAGAAATCTTTTTTTAAAAAGTAGCACTACATGTTGGGATGGTAGTGCATAGTATATGAAATGGCAAAAACTGTGAAGATGGTTTGTAAGTTACTAAAAAGATGGGAAATATACTTTAGTACATACAATAAATTTCACAATTAAAAATACATAAAAGCCCTAGCTGGTTTGGCTCAGTGGATAGAGCGTCAGCCTGTGGACTGAAAGGTCCCAGGTTCGATTCCGGTCAAGGGCACATGCCCGGGTTGTGGGCATGCAGGAGGCAGCTGATCAATGGTTCTTTCTCATCATTGATGTTTCTATCTCTCCTTCCTTCTCCCTTCCTCTCTGAAATCAATGAAATATATTTTTAAAAAATACATAAAAAGTCATACATGTAAGAGGAAGTTCTGGTCTTATTGATGAGACCCTTTGAAAAGTTCATTGCTAACAGCACAAGAAAAAATAATAAAGGTCTAATTTTTAGGAACTTAAATTATCAATACACAGTTCAAATCTTTAGCACAGAGGAAGCATGTGTTTTTGAGGCAAAGCAGGGTACTCAGAATTGACTAAGCTGGTGACTTTCAAAATAGAAATCCTCTTAATATGTGGTACACCCTTCACAATATGTGGTATATCACAGACTTGTAACCCAAGCAACCTACTTCTTGAATGAGCTCTGATACTAGAACACTAACTCACTGGGTTAGGCTTAAATTAGTCCTAAAATATACAAATGTTTAACTTTTTGAAGTACATTTTATAATTTCATACATTTAATCTTTTTATGCAGTCACCATATATTCACATTCCCTACCAACTCCCGAACGAGATGGAGGACAATATGTTAAAAGCCAAAGCAAGAAATTTTTCTAATCTAATCTACTCACTTGTGTACCAGACAAATAGAGGCCCACTTGAGCTGATTTAGGGTCTTGTCCTTGCTTAAGACTGACTAGCAAAGGTTTAAACAAACAAAATCTTTCTGGGGCTTTAAAAGAAGTAGATGGCATATGCAAAAGAAAAAGAAATCTTACTGACAGGATATAATAGCATATATAGCTAACAATATATACTATATAGCTATATAGTAATATACACATAATAAATACAATAGCTAACAAGCACTAGCTAATACTTTTTCATTTAATCCTCACAAAAATATTTTAAAGTAGATAGTATTATCTCCATTTTAGAGTTGAGGAAACTAAGGCTCATATTTAGGCAACTTGCCCAAGTTAGTATCAAAGTCAGAATTCAAATCCTGGCAGCCTAACTGTGCTCCTAAGCTATGCTACCTTTCAGTGGCTTAGATTCTTGGTTAGTGGTGTTTTCTAGCCAGATACAGGAATCTCATTTTTTGAAGATTTATTTATATCAAACAATAACATCAGATTGAGTTCCCATCCAAAGATAAACTAAGTTCATTCTAATATAGTTTCCAAAAGGATGTTCAAGACCAAAAGTCCATCATTATGATGTTTCTATCTTTTTAGACAATGTCACAGAATTACTCTTCATATTAATTCCAAATGTTAATTTCAAAATTGTATATTACAGAGTGGAGTATAGGCTGTTTTTCCTCTTAGAAAACAAATTCATTTCCCAATAACAGCATAGATAGGACAGAAATTAGTAAAAGAGTTGCTCACACTAGAGTTACTGCTGGTAAAATTAGTCATTATCACTTTTTGCTCTAGTTTAAATTTTAAAATTCACTGGAAGTGTCAAGTGAGTCAAAATATGTTAGTTTATACTTGCCTCTTTGAGGAAAACCTCCATATCTTCTTGACTCTCAAATACAAAGGCTCTCAAGTCATTTGGTGGAATATGATTTTCAACATATTTGGCATTTTTATTATCTTTCATATTGATCTAAAGAAAACAAAGAGAAAGAATAAGTTGATTTTCATGAAACCCAGACAGATTACTAGAAAATAATCACATTTATCGTAGATTTAATTAGATTAAATTTGATGACTGAGAAAAAGGGAGACCAAAAAACCCCCCAAAAACAAAACAACTTGGTATTGAAGGGTCAACATTGTAAAACATCTATTTAATCTAAATTATTACCCAGAAACATCCAATACATCATAAAATGAAAGCTAAGACTTGAATAGTACCTGGTGCATAGTGGTTTTGGTATTATATAATAATAGAGTTCCTTTCTGGAAAACTCATTGAAAACACTGAAAGTCTTAGACTGTGACCTGTAAGTAAAAACATTTCTCATCTGTCCCCAAACTTTTTTCTTCCTCATCTTTAAGAGGAATTAATATTATACATGGCAATAACTGGTACAAAAACACAAATAACTGAATAAAATTATGAAAATGAAAAAAACTAGCTATGAATTGTAACTATTAGTAGTGTCTTCAGGAGAAACCCAAGGCTAGTACCACTACAGCATAAAAACTTAATGATTTATTTAAAAATACCAGCTAATTAGACATTTCTGCATGCTGAGACTCAATGGTATTTGATGATACAAAGATAGGTCAGGAAAAATTTTCAAAAGTTCAATCTATTTATCACAAATGATAAATATAATGAAAAGCACAGTACAACAGAGGTATATAAAAATGCTATCTAGGAAATTTAAAGGGAGAGATTAGCTCCAGCAGATGGAAATCAGCTTTCTTAAAAAAAAAAAAGAAAAAAAAGGCTTTATAAATATATAAAATGCAGCACAGTAGTTAAAAGCCAAGGCTCTGGGGTTAGACAGATGTCACTTTAAATCCTGTGTATAACCTTGAACTAAAATCTCTGAAAACTTTAGTTATTTCATCCTATAAATGGGTAAAGTAAATCAGCCTATACCTCATAGGAATAAATGTGAATTAAAAGAGATACAATAAAAAATTAATGCAGCACTTGTTACATAAATGCTGTCCAATATCACTATTTTAAATTATAGGATATCAACAGTATGGAAAAATGGAGAAAGATATACAATCAAACGAAATAAAATGAAAACCACATAAAATACTACTCCCTGGACATCAACACTATAAACATTTAGTGTCTATTTCTTCACAATTTTTTTTGGGGGGGGGCACCAAATTACTTTATTGGAAAGAATAGCACAATTGAAAGAAAATGTATGTGGGTATTTGCTCCAACTTATAGAAAGAGTAAGCAAAAGTAACCCCAATATGACTATAGGAAGTAGAAATTTTTTTTATAGCTATCAATAAGCGACCTACAACTTAGCTCTCATCATCATTCTCTCCCAGGGTGCACTATTCAGAGATACTCTGTTATGTCAGATTCTGGATCTCTCTTCTTGTGTAAGTTGGTTACATGGTCATTCAAATCTTTGATGGGTTTCACTTGCTAATTTAGGAAATACTTCTAAAGGAAGTCACAGAAGTGGGGAAGGGGGGCAGTTATTCACTGGCCAGTTTGTTCACTTCCAATAGTGACTGATTTGCACTTTTTTTTCAAGTGTAATGCATACTCCCACTGCATTCATGGTCTGGTCTCCTGATATCCAGAAGGAAGATTTGGCCACCTTGTTGGCTCTGCAGCTTATCAGTTTCTTAGCATGCTCCTTCTCATAAGATTGGTGAAGAAAATATCTGATAAAGTTCTCCAAAGCCACATCTTCTTAGTCACAGTAGTAAGACAGACAGGTAGACATAGGAAGTGTATGTAGCAATCCAAGATGATCTGGTGGTTAATGACAGCATTCTGTTTCACAATTTTTAAAAATGAAATCTTTCTATACATCCTATTCTGTAGTCTTTTTAATAATTCATTAACATGCCACAAATGTCCTTTTATGTAAGTAGAGCCTACAGCAACATTTTTAATGGCCACATAGTATTCCAATATAAGGACATAGAGTAATTCACGTAACTAACAATATCTTTGAAAACTTTGTTTTTTTGCCCCATCATTCTGCTATTATAAACACTACTGTGGAATATAAGTGTAAAAACATTTTCCCACATTTTTCCAATTCAGTATTGAAATTGTTAGAAATAACTCATGAAATCTGATTGCTAATTGACAAGTTATGTGACTAAAATTTTAAGTTTACATATTAACTTGCTTATGAAGGTGGGTGCATTTCAACTAAATCTGGAAGGGTTAAGTGTGTATGGGAATACATTTGGAAGAAAGTGATAGAAAATGTGAAGGGTTATTCCAGGAAGGGTAAAAAAGGAGAGTCTATCATTGTATCTCAAAGATTTGTAAAATGAGAATATATGCCAGCTAGTAATCCAAGTTAGTGATAGGCCACTATTAAAAAACCAAGTGACAAGAGGATAAAATATCTAATAAAGTTCTAAAGTACTATTTTGAAATTGGCATTTTAATAAAAATGTGTTGACAATCACACTTGACTGTAACTTATATTTAGGATCACAATATTTTTCCTTTTTTAAAAAAATATGTTTTTATTGATTTTAGAGAGAGAGAGGAAGGGAGAGGGAAAGAGAGACAGACACATTGATGAGAGAAACATCAACATCGGTCGACTGCGTCCTGCACACCCCCTATTGGGGATCGAGCCCACAACCCGGGCATGTGCCCTGACCAGGAATCGAACCAGTGACATCTTGGTGCATGGGTCAAAACTCAACCACTGAGGCACACGGGCCAGGCACAATATTTTCTCCCAGTCCTTACCAAATCAATCAAATGGTACCTGGGTCCAAAATAGATATTCCCTTCTTGATCTACCAAAAATAGTCTAAATGATATACATCTTAGCAAGAAAAGAATACAGTATTATGCATATTAATTTTGCTAATGTAATATAAGATGTAATGTTAAAAACTATATGAAATGATTTTTAATAAAGTATAACACAATCATAAGTTTTGGAAAATAGAACTTTTCATGAATCCTACAAGGATCTATACTACATTCTTTTCTAAAGTACAAGAAATTATCTAACAAAAACAATCCTTAAGTTTATATTATGTATGTATAGCTATCATTACCAAAGAATGTGGTTTTTACTTTTTGTGACCAAACTTATTATTTTAAATTTTACATATAAATCTTCCTGTTAAACCCATGGCCACACTTCATTAGATGATTTACTAAATATAGCTTATCCTATTCTTGATGACCCATGATCATCAATAAGAGCTATCAAAAGGTGTGGATCCAGAGACATGGAAGCATGGAACAGAGTATGGAATCTCAGAGGGAAAGTGGGGGAGGGAGGGAGGATGGAAAGTAATCAACCAAAGACCTTGTATGCATAACCCATGGACACAGGGCCTGGGGCGGGCTGGAGGAGTCAATGGAGGAAAAAAGGGAACATGTGTAATACTTTCAACAATAAAGATTTTTTAAAAAGAGCTAAGACATGTTTATGAGGTCAATAAACTGTTGGTTTCACTCTCAGAATCTTCATAATGCTTGGTTTCTGTAGCAAATGATTTTCTTGTCTACCTTCTGTCAGGTACCTTATATCAACATGTATTTACAGCAGTTTTCTACCCCTTTGGCAGCATTTAATCTACTGCCTGCTATGACCTAAGAATAGCAATTATAGAAGGAACCAGCTAACCACCCTAACTTTATACACAGTTCTTAGTCAATAAAGTGCCATTTTCATATTTCTTTCTAGAAAAAGTTCACAGGTGTATTGATCAAGGGTCCTTTAAAAAGCCCATGTATGGATTTAGCAGTATACCAGCTGCTGCAAGTCTGATAATGAAAAACCAGGAGTATAAAGACTAAGAATTCTGAAAACAACAAAAATCTTTGATTACAATAATAAAAATAACAGATTCTACATAAACAAAAGCTCTTACCATGAGCATTATGGGCTCATAGACTCTTTGCTTAAATTTGTCTTTGTTATTTCTCAGCCATAAAACAGCATCGTATGTATCACGATATCGCTGTCTCAGCTTATCTTCCTTTTGATTCATAAGATTGTCAAATTGTACAATTTGATCATTCACACCTAAAATTGAAAAATGAAACAAAATATTGTTACCTTGAAAACTTTCATTAGTAAAATAATCTATTAATAATACAAAAAAAATCTTAGATCCACAAATTACAAACACCACTTAGCAAGTACCCAGTACAGAAAGACCCATCCATAACAAAACATTCTCAAATTTCCAAATACTTGGAATAAAAGGCGATTAAGCTATCAAAAATAAAAATAAAAATAGGTCAGATAAAAAGGAATGAGAAAACATTAGCCTTCCAATCAGAAGACAATCACAATAGGCGTTCAAAATTGAGAAAAATTATTTTTAACTTACCATTATATATACAACATTGAAGAAAAGGGATAATGAAATAAAGATATTTTCTAGGATATCAAGACTCTAAAATTAATTCCCTAGTACCCCTTCTTAGGAGGTTACCTGAAGATGTATTCTAACAAAATAAGGGAATAATGTAGGAAAAAAAACCCCCCACAAAAACAGGAGACATGAAATTCAGAAATAGCTTTATCCAACACAGAAAAGGATCTGAGAAAAATTCCAGATGACTGCCATGCAGAAGGCCTTGAAAACAATCAGTTTAGAAAGGACAAGGATAGCAGGCTCCAGAACTCAAGAGAATGCCTGATAAGATAGGTTGGTGTTTTTTTTTTCAATTTAAGAAAATGCTAAAACAAATGGTGCTTAAAAAAAAAAAAAAGGTAAATTATAACCTTTAAAAACGCTATCAATGAAAGGAAATTAAATCATAATACAATACTATGAACAAGTTTCATTGTAATAATATGAATAATACTTAATATTTCTAGCTTAAGAGTTAACCCATAAATAGAGCACATAAAACTTGATTATGTTTAATAATTAATTCAACATAATTAATGATTAATAACTTCTTCACAAAATGTTTTCAGCCTTAACAATATAAAAACCAGAGTACAGATTAGAGAATTTAGAATGTAAGAAAGGAGGAAAGTAAAAAGGATGGGAGTACTAGTATTTTTAGCTTACAGTATACATTCAAGAAATAGCGACAACTGTTAAATGACAAAAAGAAAAATTATCCATAATACATATTAAATTTTAATGATTAATAACTAATAATAATCTCATTTGAGGAACTACAATAATAGGGAGGGGATTTATGAGCCTAAGCCACATCTAAAGTAACAAAATATTAAGAGACGATGTCTAAATATCACATGATCTCACTTATATGTGAAATCTAATTGAGTATAATAAACTGACAAACAAAATAGGTCCAAAGGCATGGATGCATAGGAAAGATAGATCTCAGAGGGGAGTAGGGGGGGACATAAGAAGAGATTAACCAAAGAACTTATATACATACAAGAAGCCTGATGCACAAAATTCATGCACGGGCAGGGTCCCTAGGCCTGGCCAGCGATCAGGGCCGATTGGGCCTGTCTTCCCCCGGCTGCCAGCCGGGGCCTTCCTTCGTTCTACGCTGCCTCCTGGTGGTCAGCGCATGTCATAGCAAGCGAACTCCCAGTCGGTCGAACTCCCAAGGGGACAATTTGCATATTAGCCTTTTACTATATAGGATTTGCGTAGCCTATGGACACAGACAATAATGTGGTGAAGGCCTGGGGTGGGGCAGGGGCTGAGTGTAGGAGGGTAAAGGGGGAGGGATGGGGAATAGCTGTAATAATGCCAACAAGAAAAAAGTCTAAAATTGACAAATTAAGCTATGGTGAAAAAGAATATGCTGAAAATACAGGAAGGACTATTAGAAAAAATTGTTGAAATAGTTAAAAGTGCTTACTCTTGAGAGGGGTCTGGAAGTTAGCAACATGGTGGGCCTCCCTTCTAGTTTTCTTTGTTTTTCAACTATACACATCGAATACTTTGATAAATATATAAAAATGGGTGCTTTTTAAGAAATTGATCTTATACTAGTATATATAGAGCAAAACGAATATGGCATATCCTCTATTTGAATAATGCTATAGATCTATCCACATAGTCTACACGCAAGCATGTCAAACTAGCGGCAAGAGGGCCGCATGCCTCGTTTATCGCGAGTTTGACATGCTTTGAAGGAAAGAAAAGCAAAGATATAAATGGACAGGCTTTAAGGATGGAAAGTTTATGAAGGCTAGAATAAAAAGCTTAAATTTGATATGAGAAATAATAGTGAGTGACTTTGTAAAGAAAGCAAAGCATTTTTAGAGAATTAAATAAACTGACATAATCTGATTTAAGACAATGGCCAGCCACTGGCAAATGATACATGATAGCCATAGGTAATTAAGGCACTAGGTTTGAAGAACTGAGCTGAGCTTCCTCAACAGGGAGATCTGAATATTGAAAGACATGGTATCACGGGGGAAAAAGAAAGCCCATCATCAGATATAGCTCCATTTTATAAACATCGCTTCATCCTAAGTTTAATAAAACTTACTCTTTTTCTCCTTCTCTAGAGTTTCCCTCTCTTTAAGCTTATCAATTATCTCGCTTTCACATGATTCCTTTTCATCTTGAACTCGTCTCAGATCATTTGTAATGTCATCGATCTGGGGTTGAAGATTCACACAGTTTTCTGTGGTCCTCAGTTCATTTTGCAAATCTTCTATCATTTTTCGGGTATTACTTATTCTCCTCTGTCGGTCAAGCTCTGCATTTTGTTTTACTGTTAAAGCCTGCTGAAGTTCCTCAATCTAATAAAACAAAAGACGGTTAGTACTAGAGATTGTTTTTTTTCTCCTAGTTTATAAGGCTTTTATAGTAATATAGTTTTTAAAATGCCAACAATCTAAGAACATGATTGTTTTACTCACTAAAACTTATCCTGCTCGAATTAGACTGTTACTCTTACCAGGTTATTTATATCTTTACTTGTTCACTAATACATCCTAAGTACCTAGAACAGTGTTTAACATATAGTTAACCTTCATTAAGTATTTGCTGAATAAACAAATTATTTATAAAGCCAACCGAATATCTAGAAAGCATGTATTTACTTTCTAGATATTTATAGGAAGTAAATACATGCTTCATTCATATCCTAACACTGAAATGAAAAGACACACAATATGATACTTTGAATAAAGTTAATAGAAATGATGATTATTTTACCCTATTAATTTTAAACTAAACTATTTTCTTCCAACAAAATTATTTTCTACTAACACTTCAAATTAATTGTGAGATTTTTAAACATTGACCTATATGTTTAGATTTGTTAACTTACATTCAGGGTAAATTATTTTTTTAAAAACCTCTATCATATAAGTTGTCAGTGAAATTTTTGTCAAAACCAGACATAGTCTATCTAAGACAGAGTTAAGATTTTAAGACACACACACATAAACATAAATACACACTTATGCACCCACTTTATTAAATAAAATAGAATTTTATATCAAAATAGACAAGGCTAACACAACTCATAATTTGCCTATTAGCTCACTTTCTTTTCAAGTCACATTTATTCTCTCCTCATTATAAAAGTAACAACATACTGATTATAGAAAATATGGAAAATACAAAAATCTATAATCTTGCCTATTAACTAGGAGGTCAGGGTTTAGTTTCCTTCAGGGCACATGCCCATGTTGTGGGCTTGATCCCCAGTAGGGGGCATGAAAGAGGCAACCAATCAATGATCTTTCTCATCACTGATGTTTCTCTCTCTCCCTCCCTCTCCCTTCCTCTTTGAAATCAATAGAGATATATTTTTAAAAATCTATATATAATCTTAATGCGCTTACACATTTCATTTTATTGCCTATCTATAGAACATATTTTACTAAATGGCATGACTAAAAACATATTAAGAGCAGTTTCTCATTATCCTCATATGTCCTTGCAAAATAAAATTCTAATATGTACATAATGTCCTGTTATATGGACATACTACATTTTACCCATTCTCTATTGTTGGAATGGGTTGGTATCAATTTCTTCTTCCTAAAAACTTAGCTTTGAAAGAGTTAAGATAATAAACAAAACATATGCCAAAATCCCCTCTCCTGTACCAATGCACAGGAGAAAAAAATATTTGAAAAATTAGGTTATATATCTGAAAATTAACAATATTCAATGGGTCTAAAAGAAGAAAGCAAACAAGAAGCCATAGAGTTCAGCCAGGGAAGTCCAAGCCATTCAGGAGAATAAAAAGGCATATCATAGAAGAGAGGCATAGAATTAAGAATCACCAAACACATGAGTAAGTCCAACTCCATGAAAAACAAGAAATTTAAAATAATCTTGCCCTCTCAGCAAAATGGAGTCATCTTAGGTACCAAAAAATCATCCAAGAAACTACGATGACTAATCCCATTATAACCCATGTTTATTAGCTCTGGCACAGTAAGTCCAAGCTTCCTAGATCATCAATCTTCACTAGGATACCATTTCTATTCTACTATCTTCCATTTCTCTTTTTGTACTAACTAAAATTTGGCTATTCCTGACATGCTTCTCCCTAGAGCCCTCTGAACTGTGACCTTTTCCTTCCATAATCCTTCAGAGTACTTTAGGACTCAGAGGTGAGGAAGGTGTCCTGATTAATCTCCACTATACTACTTCCTCCATTAATAGCCCCACTTCAGTTCCTTTGAAGACCATGTGATAAGACTTTAACACCATCATCTTTGTTGCTCACAATTCTTCCTTACCCTCTTCACTCAGTGATGACTTTAGTACCAGACTGACTCATTGTCGTCCTCTCCATCATTATGTCTGTCATCATGAGACTTCAACATACATACAGAAAAATAAATCTAACTCTTTGGCCTCTAAGTGTTCCTTGACTTCAACTATATATATTATTGATTTCAGAGAGGAAGGGAGAGAGAGATAAACATCTATGATGAGAAACCATTGATTGGCTGCCTCCTGCACGCCCCCTACCGGGGATCAAGCCCGCAACCCTGGCATATGCCCTTGACCAGAATTGAACCCGGGACTCTTCAGTACGCAGGCCAACACTCTATCCACTGAGCCAAACCAGCTAGGGCAACTTCACCCATCTTTACCTAAAACCCTCCTCCCTCATCCACCTTCTTTTACCGTTACATTCTAGATCATGTAAATCTCCCTAAATTATACTACTTCTGAAAACTCTATATCCACAATCCTACTGTTTGATCACCATTTCCTTTCCTTCCATTTTATTTGCTATAGTATTCCTATTCCAACATCCTTTGACCCCCATATGGTCCTACAATCCATTGACCTTAGTACCTTTTAAAAAATCCATCACTTCTTTCCTTAACCTGCTGAGGTTCCAGAACCCTCCACTATAACCACTCCCTTGCAAAGACCTATCAACACACCACTAATCCTATTATCACACTGGCCAGGAGAAAGCCTAGTTCTTTTTAAACTTAACTATATACCTTCTATCTACTAGTATCTGTATTTAAGCAATTAAACTAATTGGAGAAAATCTCTAAAACCGGACACACTTTAAAATTATGGCCACAAAACTTAAATACGCACTTCAAACAACCTATTGCATTTCTCTAACAAATGTAGTTGTAATTTGTTACATTCTGAGAAGAGTCCACATCTTTCCCTCCTTCTTCAATCCTTTATTGCTACAGGCTCTCTACTCACTCAGCTAATGTTCTTGTCTTACATTTCCAATGGTATATTCAAAATCAGAGTTCTCTGATCAGAGTGCTTTTCCCATTTTCATATCTATCACCCTAATTTCCAGCAATACTCACTCTGCTTTATCTTGTATAATGTAAGGAGAGTTCTCATAGCTACCTAACTAAATCTAACCCTGCAAGGCTACTCCAAGCAGTGTTTCTCAAATTATTTATGAAGAACAATTTATAAAAAAATTACAAGCCAACTTTTATTAATTACAATAAATTATTAACAATCATTTTGGTAAACTATCTGGCCTACGTACGATATTCTACTTCTAGAATATTATCAAAGCGAAACAAAAATATATGTTCATAAGTAAATGTATATGAAATACTTATGGAAGCTTTATTGATTATATCCCTAAAGCAAAAACAACCTAAATGTCCACCAATGGCAAATGAATAAACAAATTGTGATTTCAAGAAAAATGAAACAAACCAAAAAATACAACATATCAGAATTTGTGGACACAGCTAAACAGCAATGAGGAAAATTTATACTATTAAGTTCATACATAAGATGAAAAGTCTCAATTTGAGCTTCTGCCTTAAGAGCCTAAAAAAAGGAGCAAAATATACCTACTTACACAGAGGAAAGGAAAAAATAAAAATAAGAACAGATATCAATAAAATTGAAAAGAGAAAAATAAATGAAACAAAAGATTGGTTCTTTTAAAAAAACCCACATTAAATTTAACAAAACTCTAGCAAGATTGACAAAACAAAAAACAATCCCAAAACAAGTTACCAATATCATGAATGGACAGGGGTATCAATGTATCATTACAGACCTTACAGACATCAAAAGGATAACTGGAGAATCTATAAACACATAAACTTAACACCTTAAGACAGAATGGACCAGTTCCTCAAAAAACACTAGCACAACTCATCCAACTTGAAATCGATTATTTGAATAGCCTTAACTATTAAGTTGAATTCATAACTTTAAACTCCACTTCAAAAATATCCAGATCCAGATAGTATCATTTGATAATTTTTCAGAATATTTAAAGGATAATTAACAATTCTACACAATCTCCCCGAAAAAACAGAAGAGGAGGAAACTCATTCATTCTCAGAAACACAGGAATAGAATTTTCTGAACTTGATAAAGAACGCCTATAAAAAATTATAGCTAATATTATAGTTAACTAGAGGCCCAGTACATGGAATTCGTGCATTCTGGGGGGGGGTCCCCTCAGCCCGGCCTGTACCCTCTCGCAGTCCGGGAGCCCTCAGGGGATGTCTGACTGATGGTGTAGGACAGTGGTCGGCAAACTCATTAGTCAACAGAGCCAAATATCAACAGTACAATGATTGAAATTTCTTTTGAGAGCCAAGTTTTTTAAACTTAAACTATATAGGTAGGTACATTGTTATTAAATTAATTAGGGTACTCCTAAGCTGGCCTTTGCTAAAAACATCCTCAATCTGATTGAGGTACGTTCGCTGAGGTCGACCCCTTCCAACTCTCCCATCCACACTTGTCTTGTATACTTGTTTCGTCTATTCTTAAATTGATGACAAAAATACCTGTAGGATTTGCAGCTGGTTGGAAAAATACAGGTAACTTTATGCTTCGAGTAGGTACTTTTGTCACCGCGCACGATTTACAGACGTGACTAGCACTAACCACTGCACAATGAGACTGCTGACTGACTGGCTCACTCAACTCGTGCATGAATCGCGCGCCTCCCCTGCGCTGCGTATCCTGCGACCCGCCTGCGCCGAGTCTCCCATCGTCCGACCCGACCAACACTCCCAACTTATTTTTTAAAAAAAATATATTTTATTGGGTTTTTTTACAGAGGGGAAGAGAGAGGGATAGAGAGTTAGAAACATTGATGAGAGAGAAACATCGATCAGCTGCCTCCTGCACACTCCCTACTGGGTATGTGCCCACAACCAAGGTACATGCCCTTGACCGGAATCGAACCTGGGACCCTTGAGTCCGCAGGCCGACACTCTATCCACTAAACCAAACCGGTCAGGGCACCCCCCACTTCTTCTAACGCCACTTCTTCAAAATAGACTCACCCAGGCTGAAAACCGACTTCTGCACATGGGACACAAAGTTTCAATCGCACTGTACGTGCGCGCCTGCACGTGGTATTTTGTGGAAGAGCCACACTCAAGGGCCAAAGAGCCGCATGTGGCTCGCGAGCCGCGGTTTGCCGACCACTGGCATAGGATGTCAGTTGGACATCCTTAGCACTGCCGTGGAGGCGGGAGAGGCTCCCGCCACTGCCTCTGGGCTCGCCAGCCGTAAGCCCAGCTTCTGGGTGAGCGGCGCTCACCCTTTGGGAGCGCACTGACCACCAGGGGGAAGCTCCTGGGTTGAGTGTCCGCTCCTTGGATGTCAGTGCGTGTCATAGCGACCGGTCGTTCCGCCATTCGGTCAATTTACGTATTAGCCTTTTATTATATAGGATGGTGCAAAACTGAATCCTTTCCTCCTAAGATCAGGCAAAAGGCAAAAATGCCTAAACTTACCATTCTTATTCAACACAGTGATGAAAGTTTTAGCCAGTGCGTAAGGAAAAAAAACCAAAACAGAAATAAAAGACATACAAATCAGAAAGGATGAAATAAAGCTGTCCTCATTTGTAGATGACATCAATGCCTATGTAGAAAATGCCAAGGAATCTATTAAAAGGAGAGGGTTAGAGAAAGATATACACAGAAAGATATGGAAGAAGCCTGGACAATATTGCTCAATGGTTTGAGCACTGACCGATAAACTAGGAGGTCGTGGTTCGATTCCAGATGAGGGTACACGCCTGGGTTGCAGGCTTGATCAGTAGGGGGTGTGCAGGAGGCAGCTGATCAATGATTCTCATCACTGATGTTTCTCTCTCTCTCTCTCTGAAATAAAAAATATATTAAAGAAAAAAATGTGTTATTTAAGCTTTAAGAGTAATCAGTAGAATAGGTTTAGAATATATAACTTTAGAAAAAATAGATTAAGAAAATCTTGATCAATAGAAATAAAATAGAAAGGAGCACAGGAGGAATCAAACCATGCAAAGCAAGTAGTAAACAGTAAATGTGAATTGGCTAAACTCCTTTACTATATGAAGCCCACTATATATTATTTATAGTAAATAAAATGAATCAAAACATGATCTAGAAAGAACAAAATGATAATGCTTTAAAATCTAGGAAGCAAAAACTAATATAATTTAAAATAAATAGATAAATCTACACTCATAGGTATTGACACTTTAAAACTGAATAAATCAGAAAGATAAAAAAATAAGTAGGACATTTGTGTAAATATAATTATAGTAAGCCTATTCTAACAGATATCTCCAGACCTAAAGACAAACTACACATTCTTTTAAATTATACATAGAACATGTATAAAACTAAATATAAAAGTCCAAAGAGGTCTTAAAAAATTCTAAAATGAAGTTATCAAGACCACATTTATTGCCAGGCCAGTGTGGCTCAGTGGTTGAGCATTGACCTACGAACCAAGAGGTCACGGTTGAATTCCTGGTCAGGGTTCATGCCTGGGTTGTGGGCATGTTTGGAGGTTCTTCAAAAAATTAAAAATAGAACTAGCATGATCTAGCAATTCCACTTCTGGGTATTTATCTGAAGAAAACAAAAATACCTAACTTAAAAATACAGATGTACTTCCATGTTCATTGCACTATTATTTCTAATAGCCAAGATATGGAAACAGAAAACTGAGTGTTCATCAATGGATAAATGGAAAAAGAAAATGTGATATATACACAATGGAATATTATGCAGCCATAAAAAAGAAGTAAATCCTGACCTAACCAGTTTGGCTCAGTGGATAGTGTCGGCCTGTGGACTGGAGGGTCCCGGGTTCGATTCCAGTCAAGGGCATGTACCTTGGTTGTGGGCACATCCCCAGTAGGGGGTGTGCAAGAGGCAGCTGATCGATGTTTCTCTCTCATCGATGTTTCTAACTCTCTATCCCTCTCCCTTCCTCTCTGTAAAAAATCAATAAAATATATTTAAAAAAAAAAGAAGTAAATCCTGTCACTTGCAACAACATGGATGAAACCTGAGAGCTATTCAAAGTGAAATAAGCTCATAGATACATAGAATAGATTGGTAGTTGCCAGAGGTGGGATGTGTTAATGGATGGGTGAAATGGGTGATGGAGGATCAGAAGGCACAAACATCCAGTTAAAAAAATTTGTAACTATGTACAGTAGGAATGTTAACTAGACTTATTGTGTGATAATTTCACAACATATACAAATATCAAATCATTATGTTGTATACCTAAAACTAATATAATGCTATTTTTTTAAAAAAAGAGTGAAAGAGAAAGGAACAATAAAAAGCTGACAATTCTAAAAAAAAGAAAAAAAAATCCCAGAGACTCTTAGAACAAGGAAATGTCAAGAATAAAAGACATCGCATAGAACGTAATTACTCCAGCACTACCTCCTACCCAATGTCCCTACACCCTACCCATACACATACCTTGAGCACATAACACTGGCAGCCAAAGCTTCTGCCATGAAAATCTGAGGTTTATTCTCTAGGGAAATAAACGAAAGAAGCCTTGGAGTTGAAGATAAAGGCACAGAAAAAGGGGTGAGGCTGAATATCTACCCCTAAGACAGATAATTTAAAATTCAGTTGTTGAATGATCCTAGAAAATAGAATCCCACTTACATTTGCGGATCTATTAGCTAAAAACCCCACTTTCTTGCCCAACATTCTAAAATAATTTTGCCATGAAGCCCTACCCATGAAAAAGAATTTGTAATCAGCTTTTTAATGCCCTACTCTTGATATAAACAAAATAAATTCCTTATATTTTATTTTTTGCTATTAAGGTAACTGAATCCAATTTTATCATTACCCTAGTAAAAAAAAAAATAACTTCAGCCACCCAGCTACAAAGATGATAATGCGTATCTATGATTAGTTTTGAGCAATTTTTCCTAATTATCCTCTGTGCAACGGTTTTACTTCCAAATATTAGTTTTCCTCATAGATTATAAGAAACAGAGAATAAGGAAGATGTTAGACAATTCCCAAACAAAAGGTGATCCCAAAATCCAGACCCGAACACAAACTTTAGGGCAAATTAGTATAATAAAAATTTCAATACAAAATCTTACATGTTTATCTTTCCTTTCTATAACATCTTGCTTTTGTTTGCATTTTTGAGATGTCTCCTTAATATCTGTTGCCTGTAAGATTGAACCAGAAGGGGAGAGATTTTAAAAACTCAAGCAAAATGAATTATGTGCTTCAGTCATCCAAATATTAAGTTGTTATGTAAGTTAACCCACAATGCTTTTCCATGATTTCTTTCAAACCAAATACATTATTATCACCCAAAAAAATACGTTATCTGCAAATCTATAGGATTTGTAGCAATATGCAGACATGTTTTTTTAGTCTCTTTACGGTTATTCCTATTGATATTAAAAACAACTGTAGCAATATGCAGACATGTTTTTTTAGTCTCTTTACATTTATTTTCTCATGTTCTTTCATCTGATGCTAAAAACAATCCTATAGGATAGCAGAGTCCATAGTTTAAACCATTCTGATAGGAATATTACTTGAATCCTCTTATAATTAATCACATTTTGTTTCCTCTTTTTATATCTTGATATAAAGTAGCAACCTTCCAACAGTGATGATTAGAACATTGCAAGCCCTATGATGGTACAATTTCTAGTTAAACTTAAGGAACCAACACTACATACTATTTTTTTGTATGTGCAAGTCCAAAATTGAGCCAGGAAAGTACCTTCGCTTTGATTTGAGCCTCCAAATTGTGACGCTGCATTTCTATTTCTTCAATTCGACGTGTTATAGGAATCTGCCCATCTTTAAGTTTTCTTACTTCGTCCTTTACTCGGTCACGAGCTAGTTTTACTTCTTCATATTCCTGACGAACATTTTCATATTCCTTGCAATTATTAAAAACAAAACAAAACAGAAGTTAATGCACTACTAGCTTAAACTAACACATATACTAACATCAAGGTAGAAGCAGAAACTAAATCTATGAAAAGACTGTTTTGATATCCATTTGACAGGTTTATTAATATATCATTTGCCCTCTGAAACAACTTCAGAAATGGTGAATACAAACATAATGATTTACTAAGAGTCTTGAAACTCATTGAGCATTTATCTCCATCAGTAGTTTGGACTCTGATATCCATCTCTTCCTGTTTCTGATATCCTAATGGCTAGTAAAAATGAGGTTCTCTAGTCTCTCAATAGAGAAGGGATACAGGAGTGTATAAAGAAGCAAAAGAAACTCAGTTATGAAAAATAAAAATGAAAAAAGTGTAAGACAAAAGAAAAATGAGTAAAAAAAATAAAAGAAACATGCAGGTGAAAATGATGCTTGTCATGTCACAGGAATTAATAAAAATAAATGGAGCACTACAATGAAGTTAAAAAGAGAAAAGAACGTAAGTAAACATTAGAGTAAAGCAAAAAAAAATGAAAAAAGACTGATGTCAATATTAGAAAATAAAAGAGAAACTGAAGACTTCGTAAAGCAAAGATAAAGTGCAAGAGTACTAATAGATACAGAAAAATGTAATAAAAATGTGCGGAAGGATGTAAAAGTTTAATAATGGAATTATGAGACAGGGTAGGGTGAAGTAACAGCAGTGGGGGAGAGGGACAAAAATAGAGGCACATATTTTTCCAATCTAGTAACAATTATTTCCATTCTAACCCTGGAACAAACATTATAAAACTTTATTATTCCTTTTTACCCACTGTAAAGGAATGCATGAGGGAATTGAATCTTTAGCTCAAACTGCAGTCATAAATAATAAAATATACATCTCACAGTGATTAGAAACAGTAGCCTCAGTAAATTTATGAGGCATGTGAGTCGAAGACTACAGCTTATGTCCTTCAGCTATGTGTCTACAGCTGAATTTGATATTAATAGCACACTCCAAAATTTTTAGTGACCAGAGGCCACTCAATAACTTAATTTTTACGTGTGTAAACATTTTTATGTCATTATCATTTTATAAAACAAAACTATCTGTTAAGGACAAAAATTTGGAAGAAATCCCAGATTTGAGTCCTTAGACCTAGTAAACTGTTACTTGTTACTATTTTAATAACATAGCACACAGCTATATAACACAGACACAGATACATTTTATTATCTACACTAATAAAAGAGAAACATGGTAATTGGCGTACGACCGCTACCCTTCCCATTGGCTAATCAGCATATCCTTATGCAAATTAACTGTCAGCCAAGATGGCGGCCGGCAGCCAGGCAGCTGGAAGCAAGCAGGGAGGCTCACTTGCTCCAGTGACTGCAGACGCCAACGTTCCCCGCCTAACTTGCCGGCCTCTGAGTTGCAACTCTAAGCAACTATGTACTATGTTGCAAATGTAGAAGCTAAACAAAAGCCCAGAAACCAGCTTTCAGCCTGCCGGGATCTCAGAGCTGAAGTTATACATTGTTTCGATTATAGAACGGCAAACAAACCAGATACGAAGCCTCAGAGCTAGAGCCAGAGCTAAAGCTGGCCCAGAATAAAATAAAAAAAAGAGAAAAAAAAGGAGCGGTTGGGAGCTTCAGTCAACAACCGCCAGCCTGAAAGCAGCCCTCAGCCCCTCACCCAGACTGGCCAGGCACCCCAGTGGGGACCCCCACCCTGAAGGGGGTGTGACCAGCTGCAAACAGCCATCATCCCCTCATCCAGGCTGGCCAGGCACCCCAGTGGGGACCCCCACCCTGATCCAGGACACCCTTCAGGGCAAACCAGCCAGCCCCCAGGCCTCTATCCTATATAGTAAAAGGGTAATATGCCTCCCAGCACCGGGATCAGCGGAGCCACGAGGCCTCCTGGCACCGGATCAGCGTGACAGGGGGCAGCACCCAAACCCCCTGATCGCCCTGCAGCTCTGTGTGTGACAGGGGGCGGGGCCACAACATCCCTATCCGCCCTACTCTGTTCGTGACAGGGGAAGGCGCCCCAACCCCCTGATCAGCCCTGCTCTGTGAGTGACAGGAGGCAGCGCCCCAACCCCCTGATTGGCCATGCTCTGTGCGTGACAGGGTACGGAGCCCCAACCCCCCTGATCCGCCCTGCTCTGTGTGTGACAGGGTGCAGCGCCCCAACCCCCACCCCCACGGGCCCTGCTCTGTGTGTGACAGGGGGCAGCGCCCCA